TATTATTATTATTATTATTATTATTATTATTATTATTATTAGATTTCGCGAGCACCTTGTAGATTTTTGCTTGCATGTTTTCTGATCCTTGCAGCAACCTGTTGGGCAGTTTCTCTAAGTACAGATCCCAAACCACTTAACATCACAGTCCCTGGAAAGCCTGTGGGGACAGGAAATGTGCTCAGGAAATGATGACTTCCTGGGAGGCAACATAGGATACAGGGCCACATAACTACACAGGGAGCAAAGTCTGTGCTGCCTCAGTGGATGAATGAATGAATGAATGAATGAGAGCTGGGAGAAGTGTGTTTGTTTACCCCTTGCCCCTCTCTTACAGAACTGCCTTGGTGGAGCCTGGTAGCTGTCACTCAGACTGGCCTGGCCATTTCTGCCAAAGGTGCCAAAACTGCCTGCTGGGGGCTCATCTGCTCCTCCCCTGAAATACATGAAAGGCCTGAAATACCATCCCTGCCCCCACCACCCCACTCTAACTCCCTCCCAACACTTAGCCCTCTTTTCCAAAGTGACACAAGCCCTCAAACTCCAGGCTGCCCCCCATTCCCAGGACTCCCAAACGGGGTCCACTGTGCCCTCTGCAAAATTCCTTAGAGCCTCTACCTGAGTCTCCAGGTGGGCAAACTTCTTCTGTAAAGGGCATTTAAAAGTTATTTGTAGGGGCGCCTGGGTGGCGCAGTCGGTTAAGCGTCCGACTTCAGCCAAGTCACGATCTCGCGGTCCGTGAGTTCAAGCCCCGCGTCGGGCTCTGGGCTGATGGCTCAGAGCCTGGAGCCTGTTTCTGATTCTGTGTCTCCCTCTCTCTCTGCCCCTCCCCCGTTCATGCTCTGTCTCTCTCTGTCCCAAAAATAAATAAACGTTGGAAAAAAAAAAAAAAAACTTAAAAAAAAAAAAAAGTTATTTGTAATGGTTTCCCATGGCTACTGTAACAAATTAACACAGAGTTTGGGGCTTAAACCGAAACAAATTTATTCTCTGGAGGTCAGTAGTCCAAACGGGTTATATTTGGCTAAAATCATGGCGTCAACAAGGCTCCTTCCTTCTGAAAGTTCTAGGGGAGACTCCTTTCCTTATCTTTTCCAGCTTCTAGAAGGTGCCCACATTTCTTGCTGGTGGAGCCTCCCCCCCCAGGAGGTCACTGCAACCTTCGTTTCTATTACATTTCCTTCTCAGACTCTGACCTTTATGATGACCTTGAGCCCACCCAGATAGTCTAGAACAATTTCCCCATCTCAAGATCCTTACCTCAGTTGTATCTTCTTCAAGGCCACTTTGGCCACGTAAGGTAACTTATTCACAGCTTCCACCGCTTAGGATGTGAACATCTTGGGGGGGACCATACCATTCTTAGTTCAGGGGCCATACAAACCCTGGCAGAGGTTGTGATATGCCCCAGCATTTCCACTCCCAGGTATGTACCCAAAAGAATGAAAACAGGGACTCAAATAGGTAATCACATACAAGTGTTCACAGCAGCGTTATTCACAGTAACTAAAGATGCACACCCCCTGTGGTCCCGCAACTGACGAGAGACCATAAGCAAATGTGGTCTATCTGTACAATGGTATATTATTTAGCGTTAAAAAGGAATGAAGTGCTGAAATGTACTACAGCATCGATGAACCTTGAAAAGTAAAATAAGCCAGGATTGGGGTGACTGGGTGGTTCAGCCGGTTAAGTGTCCAACTTCGGCTCAGGTCATGATCTCATGGTTCCTGGATTCGGGCCCCGAGTTGGATTCTGCATTGACAGTGCGAATCCGGCCTGGGATTCTCTCTCTGCCTCTCCTCTACTCGTGCTCTCTGTCTCTCTCTCTCTCAAAATAAATAAATAAACTTAAAAAAATATAAGCCAGGGGTGCCTGGGTGGCTCATTCAGTTAAGCGTCTGACTCTTGATTTCAGCTCAGGTCATGATCTCACAGTTGAAGGGTTCGAGCCCCGCATCGGACTCTGCACTGACAGTGCAGAGCCTGCTTGGGATTCTCTCCCTCCCTCTCTCTGCCCCTCCTGCTTTCGCTCTCTCACTCTCAAAATAAATAAATAAAAATAAATGTTTTTTCTTTTAAGCCAGAATACAAGAGATCACAGATTGTATGATTACACTACCATGAAGTACCTAGGATAGGTAAATTCACAGAGACAAAAAGTGGATCAGAGGTTCCTGAGGGGGGTTGTGAGGTGGCTGGGGGTGGGGAGGAAATGGGGGAGTTCTTGCTCAAGGAGTATGTTTCTGTTTGGGGTGATGGAAAATTTTGGAAATAGTATTGATAGTTGCACAACACTGGGAACATAATTGTTGCCACTGAATTGTACACTTTAAAATGGTGGCAGGGGGAGGCATACGGGTGGCTCAGTTGGTTGAGCATCTGACTTTGGTTCAAGTCATGATCTCATGGTTCCTGAATTCGAGCCCCATATCAGGTTCTCTGCTGTGAGCTCTGAGCCCGTTTTGGATTCTCTGTCTCCTCTTTCTCTGTCCCTCCCCCATGGGCTCCCCCACCCCAATAAATAAATAAATATTTAAAAAGAAACAAAAGAGAATAGAGGCTCTTAATAGGAATTAAGATTTTACAAAAAATAATAAAAAAGAAAACAGTGGAAATGGCCAACTTTATACTATATACCTTTTAACATAATAAAAGGGAAAATG